GTCATCATCAGGTACCAATCAGGTACCTTGTCGAAACGTTGTACATTTGCTGTTATATTAAAGTTTTTCTTCATTACCCATTCAAGCCGTCTCCAGCCATTATTAGTCTCAGTGGGTTCCTCGTCATCGAATTTTCTAGCTATGTGATAAAAGCTTTTAAAAATTCAGCTAAGCTTGTCGATATGTTACCTGTGTGAATAAAGTTTGAAGTGGAAATGAAATAGACAGAAAACAAAATAGTGTAATACATCATTTGATAGAATAAAACCTTGGATTTCTATTGGTGATAAATAATATAATATTAAATAGAGGATGTAACAAGTAGGTATGGCAAAAGGAGTCTGATTTTCTATTTCACGGCTCTGTAACCAATTAAAATTGAAAGCTATAAAAATAATGCTTTGCCTGAGCAATGACAATATTATAGTGAGTACTTTACATTAAATTTCTTACTTCCTGAAGGGGTAGTAAATAAATTCAAGAAGAGGGGGGGGGGGATACCTAGAGATCACATGTCACAATTCTCATACTAAGGGAAATTTGTGATTTTTTTTATATTGCCTTGTAAAATCAAGAACATAAAACTTGTATTAACATTTGGATTATTAACTAAGTTGCTATGACAAATTTATTTGTAGGTCATCATAAGAAAGTAGTTTAATTAAAACTCACTAAAACCTCATGACATGCAGAAAAAGATGCCCATAGCAAAAGTGTTAAGCAGTTTTTGAACAATAACAGTTGGGGAGTCAGTGTAAACCAAGATTAAAATTCCCATTCTCATCAGTCCACATTATTGTAATATCTGTTAACTATTTCCATATGGGTATCCTTTTCTGCATGTCACAATAATTTTCTGGGCTACATTCAAGATTTAATTAAACTGCTTTATTATGATTAATATTTGTCTTCGTAATTGCATGTATGAAAATAAATAAATTATTTTACATACTACTACCACCATTGCAAAAAATACTCTATATGTAATTAATTATATAATATTCTCATAAACAGGACATAAAGATAACAAATATGCACTAATCCTTTAGCTTTGACATAGGTTACATACCATAATCATTGCTCTGGGATGGCTTATCCCTTCCATTACGGGCTGGGTGCAATTCACCCATCTCATAACCAGGAAAGTATCTATGAGAGTAATTTTACTATAATTTTTGAAAATGTACACAAGTCTTTACAAAATTTTGCAGATTATTAGTAAACATTACAAAGATTTCATACACAAAATATCTGGTTTTTGAATTATGTTTTAAGATTTTATTTATTAAAGATTTGCTTGTGAATTTTTTCTTTCAGAATGTTGACTATCTAACCTACAAAGTAATTTTGATTTTAAGATTAAAAATGCTTTTCTGTATCTGAAAATTGTCAAGTTTCATTTGCATAATCTCTATATCCTTCTAGCTAATCATCAAACGTTTTTTTAAATAAACTTTTATATTTAATCTGTTATTTTATGAATATTAACTCTATATGGTGTTGATCGAGTTGACCGACTTCGTAACCATCATAAAAATTAGGAAATAAATCTAAATTACCTTTTTTGTTCTAGAATAACTGCAAATTGTAATAGGATACAGTAATTGTAACAATATAAATCTATTTATATTTATTCATTTTTGTTTTATTGACCTTTGAACCGTGTCTGACTAAAAATGTCTCAACAGAAGTTGAAAATTACACGTGCACTGATGTGACTTTATCAAACAGCGTAATGTAGAAGCTTCTGGCACATATACTCCATGAAGGTTTTTTATTATTATTTATTATCATACCTAACAACTTTCTATTTTTATGATTTTAGTTACTTTTATAACAATAAACAGTGAAAACAAATGAAAAATAAAAAACCTTGTAATTAAATATCAAACATTTTTATTTTCAGTACAGCATTATATTTTATTTGTTATTTTTTGTACTGTAACATTATACTTATTTCTCCAGGTTGTAGGTTAGTAATCAAAGTATAATGAAAATAAAGGTTGTAAAATAAAATGTATTGTTAGTATTGATTACAAAATTTCAAAGTACTTATGGTCAGAGTTTACGCTCTCACTATTTCACACTTATTTTCTGTAGTTATTTTATTGCTAGTAAATGAGTTAGAAACTAGAAGAAACAAAATGAATAGTACTCTGTTTCTTTTCAGTACGGACAGTAAAGTTCCAAGTAAATCTCTTGAGAGTTTCTTCTAATCTTTTTACACCTAAAATATTTATGACTTTGTAGAAAGTCCGGGCCGATCCAATAAGTAAAAAAAAACGGAAGTATCCTTAAGAAACTATTTGGATCATGGCTCCAAGAACACAGTGGTTGCAACAAGAATTGTATAAAGTACTTTATAAAAGTGAGAGAAAATATTTGTGATATGGCTCAGTACAAAGTACAAAGTTGTATCCTATCCAATAAACTTGCCAGTTATCTTACTTGGTGGTTGTGATTTAGCACTAGAAGAAGCAGATACACGTACAATATTGCACTGTATCCATTCTAGCACTTCTGTCATTATTATACAAGCTCAAGACACAGATATTTTGCCACTTGCCAATGTGAACTTGTCACTGCTATGCACTTTGTCCAACCTTCTGCCATTTCACAACCTTAGTGGCAGTGACTCAAGATCCTTTTTGGCAAACCATAGCAAGAAACCAGCCTTCAGATGCTTTTTTGAGCACAGCACACTTCTAGATGGACTTGGCATTGCCCCTTTCACATCAGAAAAGAAAAAGAATGTTGAACATTTTGTATGTAAAACTTTTGAACCTGTTCTTGAAGCTGATAGCATTGATCAAATACGAGTGGCCAAATTCAAAAATGCTCAGCAGTTAGACAAACTTCCTCCAACTTGTGATTCTCTCAAGTTTCATATCATGAGAGTATACTACTAGGTTCTCACTTGGCTACAAGCACATGTTACATTTCCAGAACTTCCCCCATTACTGATTATAGTTGGGTACTTGAAGATGATCAATTACAGCCAGTTCTGTCGTCTCTACTTCTAGTACCACGAGTATGTGAAGAACTGATCATATGTCAGTGCAAGGCGAGATGTTAACAATGCAATGATCAAAAGACAAAGTTTGGATGCTGTGGGGCATGTAGATGTGTGGAGGATTGCATGAACATGAACAACTAGTTTTCTGTCCTTATAAGATTTTCAAAATTAACATATGAACAAAAGCTATCCTCTACTATTAAGCATTGATTTTGTGTTTCAGTTTAGACATACCAGATACTGTTTAATGCAGCCTTTGGGGTGCCATTTTGGGTTGTTTTTTTTTAGTTTTTTGGAAGAAAGAGCTAAACTTAGGTTTCTAATAACTATTTTTGAAATCAGCTTTCACAAGTTGACCCAAACTGCATACTAAAAGAAAATGTTACTCTATGTATTAAAAGATATATAACCAAACCCCAGGGGTAAATGGTAGCCATTTTGAGGGTGAAGGAGCTATTTGCCAGGCTGGCAAACAAAATTTTTTGAATTCAGCACCCTCAAATTTACCAAAATTAATTGTTTGCCATAAATTACCCCAAAATGCTTGATCCATTTTTTCTACAAGCTTTTTTTGGAAAAGTGAACCAGTCTATAATCTCTTGTGTGTCTAGTAGTTGCTTGATCCATTTTTTCTACAAGCTTTTTTTGGAAAAGTGAACCAGTCTATAATCTCTTGTGTGTCTAGTAGTTGCTTGATCCATTTTTTCTACAAGCTTTTTTTGGAAAAGTGAACCAGTCTATAATCTCTTGTGTGTCTAGTAGTTGCTTGATC